TTTCTCATATCGACGCCATATAAATAAAAGTGTAATAAAAATAGATATACTTGAGATCTAGGCGGCAGACGACAAGATAAAGGCGTGCCTTTTTTGTCCCATAATATAAATTGTGCCGTTAAAAGTACAATATATATACGACGTAAAAAGTTGATTGCCTCTTGAGGCGAATAACGCTACTTAAGATGGACACTTTCCATCCGATAATTTAGCTTATCGTGAAAAAATTATTATTTAATTGTTAGAAGCTCTTACAGCTTCTCAAGTTTTAAGCGTTTGCCGTAATTAAATTTTTCCGTCAAATTTTTCCTAAGAAAAAGTCGATCCTAAGTTCATCGTGGAATTATGAAGGATGAGCCAATATGTCTGAAACATTCTTTATAAACGTCATCTTCATCTGATTAATTAATTTCTTCGCGTACAATAATGCAGAGCAGAATAACGTCGGTGAAAAGACATCGGGGAAGGGAAGAAACTGTAATTAGATCGCGTTTCTTCTGACGATTTTCGTCTCCGTTTTATAGCTTCTTCTCTTTATTATTACGTTACAATGATATTTCTCTCCGATAACAAAAGATTAGTATCTCATTCTCGTATCATTGAAAATGTACGCGGTAATAATTTAATACATGCACGTTTGATCTTTTGTGTAAATGAACTTTTTTTTTTACACATCCGAGCCGAATTTATTCTCCATTCTTACTTAATTAATTGTAAGATTTCTTAAATGTAAGTCTTTAAATTACAGCCGCAGCCTTAATTTTAAATAGCTTTTTGCAATTGATTATAGATTAAAAGTGTTACGAGGATACATTTTTTTTTGTTTTAATTATTTTTTAGAATTTTTTAGAATAAAACATAAATATAATTTATAATATTTATTTTGTATAAATATTTCTTTTGTAAATACAAATCTAAATTGTGTATAATAGCATTTTTTGTAGTTTTTTTAGAGAATAATTAAAATTGTTTTGAGTAGATATAGATTTTTGCGAGAATTTTTTCGAAGCAAAAATTAATCCTCTTATTTCTGATAAGCATATGCATGATTGACAGTCACTCCTTATTTGTTCAATCCTATATATTATTCACGTGGTTTTTTTTAAACGTAATTACTCGCATAAGGTATTATATATATTTCTGACATTATATCTTAACTTTTATTGTTCTCTTTAATTTCCAAAATCAAATAAAGATTGTCTCTCTCTCTCTCTCCCTTCTTTGATGATTTATAATTAAATAAAGATTAATAATATACTATGTATCTTTTAGATAAATATAAATGCTATTTTTTTTTAATTTTGAAAATTTATACTAAATATAATGTGTATAAATAGCATTCATACGTTCAGCAAATTTATAAGGCAGAAGTGTCCTAGACATCCCACGCGAGTAATAAAGGGTTAATGTTCCATTGTATCTCGATTAGGGACGATTGCTCTTTTGCATCCATGTGACCGCAACGTGTTTGCACAATATTATATCTTGGCTAATGGATTGCGACGACATTTGAGACGCAGCAGCTGCCTTAAGCTGAAGGGACAAATTCTGAAAAATTGTCCCGGACCTTTTTACACGTACCCTCTTCGCCGTAGAACATATATCATTGCTAAAGCCGATAAGCCTCCGCAACGGTGAATCTTATTATTAAGGCCTAAGAAGAGAAGACATTCCCGGGGTATCGAGAGAATGTAATCGCAAAATGACTTAGCTGTATGACGTGTAATTTATGACAACCGTCCGTTTCGAAAAGCCGATCACATTTTACTGCACAGATCGCTGATTGTTTCGCGATTATCGATTTTCGTTTTGTACAAAGAAAGCCGTTTTGTACGATAGAATCCCAAATACTTACACGCCAAAGTCGTATCTCGTAAATATATATATGTGTGTGTGATTTCCTATTTCATTTTATTTATTTCCCGTTGTATGTATTGTATATGGTACATGACTGTTATTACGGTAATAAATTTACTCATACACTATGCGCCGCTTTACATAATACCTCTCAATCGAATTCAGCACATGCTCGCGAACGAGTATATTTTCTGGTGAAGGAAAGTATTTCCTTCTCTGACCCAAATAAATACCATATATACGCGCCCTTGTCATTTCTATCATAGTTACCGTTTCATCTTTTATTTGTGCGTTACGTAATAACACTTGTCTTAAACGTTAAACTAATGTGCCGCTAAGGCATTGAAGAAAAGGACAACAATAATTTATGTCTTTCCTGCGAATTTTATATATTCGATGTTTTGTGCTATGGACCAATGTACAGGATGTATCAAAATTCTCAAAATATAACACAAAGGTTTTTGAAAAATTAAGTAAAAAGGTTATTTGTAAATTAAAAATATGGCAAGTCACAGACTATGTTTAGGTATGATCATCCGTTCATAATCTAAATCATCTAAAAGTAATCTGTAACTGTTCATATTTAAAAGCTTATTATCTAAAAAAATACTTAAAATAAAAATTTACAAATAACTTTTTTATTAAATTTGTCGAAAATTAACTTGCTATAGTATGGTATTTTGAGGTGCAAACTTTGAGATAAGATACCCTGTATATTTTATACCGATTCGGTTTGATATATTATATTTCACAGATATTTAAGAAGGGAAATTCCCCTTTTGTTTCGCGAGAGAATAAAATTGAACACCTGATTTTTTTTTTAGGGTAAAAAAGGAAAAATGAAGAAGCGCGTGGGTAGAGTGCAAGGCGGAGCGTTTTATTCCCGGAGAAATACTTATACATTTTTCATGCTATGTCATTTAGAATACCGCCACGACACTGTCGAAATTACACTGACGACGACAACGACAACGGTGGAATACTCTTATGTCACGTCCTTGAACACCTGTCGCCATTTGCACGCTTGTTACACGAGTTACGTCCCGCAAATCGATCGATTCAGTTACGTCGTCTATCTAATCTAACAGGACACGAGAAGAGAGTAGATAACATTAATTACGCTAATTGATATCTATTCAACACCGATCTTTCGTTTGATTTGAACAAGATATAACAGCGGATATGAATTATAAACTCTTGGACCCTAATTAGCATTTCCGAAAGAACCTGCTTATTATATTTTTTTTATTCGCACGGAAAGAAATTTTGCTAAAATATCTAAAAAGTTAAAAGTATCTAAAAACTAGATACAGATAAAAAAAATAATTTTATTGGATTTATCTAAATTAATCATGTGCATTATCACATTTATAATGTCAAATTATACCTCATTTGACTTGTTTTTAATAATTTCTATTGAATCATCATTACCGTTTTTACTTAATATAGTCATTAATTAAATTAAAACAATGGAGTTATAAAACAATTTATAATTTAAGATAATGTATTTAATTTGTAACTAAAATTTAATTTTTTATTTACTATACACGTTACATGGATGTTATTTATTTTGAAATTAATTACAAAAATAGATTAATTTACATTTTAACACAAAATGTTACTTTTATCTCGAAGGATTGGATTATCATTGCTCCTTTGATTTCTAACAATGTAGGATGCTTAAGATAGTTACTTCAGAATATATTGCAGCATTGCTTGAATTTTTTATAAATATTTTATTAATCTAATAAAATTATTTTTATATTTGTCTAGTTAAATTTTTAGCAAAGCTTTCTCTTATAAAAAGAACAACTTATATAAATATATAACTAAATTTCCTGGAACTCGTCACGAGATATGTTGGCTCTCATAAAAATCGCGGTAACTTCGCGCAGCGTGTGTGCGCGCGCAAAGAAATATTATCACCTGAGAAAACGCTTTGGAGAAAAGTCGACGTGTACGAATAACGTCGAGATGGGTGGAATGGTAAAGTCTATTACGTCGCCTGCTGTTATGGATAATGTCACGTGACGCGTTTCGCCGTCTAGAAGGATAGATTGTTACGTGGGTACGCGAACGTACAATGCTTAATGATGTAACGTGGCCGCCAGGAGAAGTAACCTGTAACGTGCACGTCCCCCGTAAAAGGTCTTTGACGGGAGACTTAAGTCTATCAGCCGCAGAAACGTTTTATATGAAACTATAAAACGAGAAATAATATATGATAAGCACGCATGGTGATCGTAAATATATTATATTTCCCTAGGAAAAGGGAGGAAAAGAAAGTTAAGGGTGAATATCCATTCTATTTCCTTCATCAATTTTCGTTAGTAACAACTGTTGTTCAGGCTTGTATCTAAAAAAATATCTATCAAAATATGCAAATATAAATTTTATACTCGTAAAAAAATCGCAATATACTACAGTAATTCATACGTCGTGTCGATGTATAAAAAGATGATTGCTATAAGTTGACAGAGTTCATTCAAATGTCTCGCTGAAAATTATACCCGAGAATTTTCCCAGCAAACACCAACTAACAATAATACTACATCAACTCCAATAAGTTTCATCTAACAGTAACATAACTGTTATAATTTTCCATTTAACAAGATAACCGTTGTGTGTTACGTAACTGTTATGTGTTATATTATAGTTATCTTGTTAACTAGAAAATTATATTTAATAGTTATCTATAATTAACAGTTATATTATTGTTAGTTGATATTTGGGATATTATAATTTCCTACTCAACAATGTAATGATGTTATGTACAATATGTTTTATATTATATTTATATTGTTGAGTAGGAAATTATAATGTAAAATGTTGATGTTATGTTACTGTGCACAGAAAAATATTTTATTGCGAAAAACGATAATCATTCAATATATTTTCTTTTTGTTAAATATTAGTTATATTTAACAAAGAATATTTTCTTAGTAACAATCTTAAAATATTTTTATTACAATTTTTAGAAAAATTTATTATCATGGAACGAGAATTTATTTTCTTTTGACGAATATATTATAAAAAATTAGAAGAAACGACTTTATATTATAAGGAAATCAAATTTGTTTTAATTTAATAATCTTGATTGGAGTATTATTAGGATTCAGAATATATTTTAAATTTGATGCTTGTAGTAAATTTGCGGTTATATGAATTGTTTAAACAAGAGTAATTATTACCTATTTGCATACAATGTATATTTTTCTGTGTGTTAGTTGATGTTCAGGCTGACGTCGATACAATTCAAATTTAAATTTGTGATCAATGAAGTTTCCGCCGAAAATAAATCGCTTAATCCTCAATTAGTGATCTCAAATTGCGAACGGTGCTGTTTGTCGTCGCGCTCGCTACAGAGTCGGCACGGTGAATAAGTTAAACGTTCCATAAACCTACAGGAACCTGTCTTCTGTCCTAGTGTATCCATTCCTTTGGATGTCAGCCATCGTTTGTGTTCACTGACATCTCGTAGCCTTTCGGCGGTGACAATTGCGGCCACTTGAGTTCCGCTCTGCGATCTTTACGCGGTTTGGCTCTCTCCTCCACTTTCCACGCGTTCGATCATCCCTAAGTCGATCTTCGCGCCTCGAAGATGCTCGATGCACCACGACGGTTGAGTCGCGTACGAAGAAGGAAAAGGCGAAGGAATTCGACGTCTAGTCGCTCTTCTACTGCTGGATGGAGGACTGCTGAAGAGCGTGCAAGTGAGCGTAAAGACCACCGGACGCCATCAGGTCTTCGTGGGTGCCCATCTCGGCCACGGTGCCCCGATCGAGCACGCAGATCACGTCGGCGTTCCTTATAGTGGCCAGACGGTGGGCTATGGTTATACATGTTCTGCCCTGCATAGCCTTGTCCAGGGCCGCCTGCACGACCTGCACGCAGAAAATATCGGTTAATGCGAGAGGTTGTTTTCTAAGGATACAAGTGTACGACGATGGCGACAAGAATATAAATGTAAACGATCGTTAGGTTGACTTTTCCTTTATATATCTTGATCTTTCATGATTTTGTGCACATCAATACTATATGCAAAAATTAATTTAATTAAATTCTAAGTGTATCCGTGGCTTTAAAAGCTATTTAAAAGTTTAACTAGATACAGATTTGAAAATAATTTTGTCGGCTTATAAAAATAATTATATAGGACAATTAAATTGATTCTTATCAAAAGTATCAAAAGTTTTTTTTTGCAGGATTTATCATATTTGAATTTTCTATATAAATTATTTTGATGGTCCAACAAAATTATTTTTAAATCTATATCAAACTAAATTTTTAGATACCTCAACAAAATTCTTGTTCCTTCTTCTAAAGTTATGAAGTAAAAAAAGAACCTCAGTTTTGCCATTTGGAATGGTACCAAAGGATTAAGAATTATTTGAATAATTATTATAAAAAAACTTTTATTCGAGTATACACTTTTTATATGAATTAATATCAAGATATACCCGAGAATTAATCGCTTGCGTTGGAATAATATTTCTTTTATCAAGTGTATATTTTTTTTACTATTATTTAAAAAAAAAACGGATCACAAACAGAGAGAGAATTATCTTCTCTCTCAGAATTTATTGTATATCTCTAACACAGTGTAAAAAATTATTCACCGCTTACGAAATTCATTTCTAAAATAGTCTGATATAAATTTTAACTTTTAGTATCGCGTTGCATATGCATGACATCGATCCATTACGCAAAACGAGACGTGCCGCGTGTTAGCGTGGAAGTGTTAAAAACAAATTAACATTAATAATACAACGGCGCGCATATGTTCCTTCCGCGTACCTGGGATATAAATTATTCAATATGTCTTCCCACAACTGATTCTGTAAATGCAGAGTAATTAGCGCGAACGGCGGTTAATGCGGAACACAGTATCAGGAAAGCGATTTAGGCATGGGGCATTTCAACAAAGCTAATCGAACATAAGCACTTTCCCGTTTTCGTTTTATGGGACCCGATAAAAAGAGGGACAAGCGCCGTCGCTGGATTGTGTTCCGAGAGAGACAGAGAGAGAGAGAGAGAGGGGGGGGGGGGGG